CATACTGTCTGCACCCCTCATCCCCAGAAAGTTTTCCATCTTCCAAGGACTTGAAATCCAAAGCAGCTGCCCCAGGGCCCTGTTCTAGTTTGCCACCAGTGGCCTGTTCTTGATGGTCTCTTTTCCCTGCTGACAGATTTGACAAGCTCGTCTATGTGGGCGTAAATGAAGACCGGGAGTCACAGCTGCAGGTGCTGACTGCTGTCACCAGGAAGTGAGTGACCCTGTCCTCTTGCAGCACCCCTCCACTGCTTTCCAATGGGTAGCAGCCTTCCTGGGACCATTGTGCAGTGTGCTCCAACTTGGCCTCATGTCTGAGTGCTGCAGAGTGTCTGCGTCAGTGTTGGGCAGCAGGAGGTAGGGTGAGAGGGTAAAGTAAATCCAGAAGCAGAACTGGAGCTGAGCTCACCCAGGAGCATTTCTGGAGGGAGAAAGGCAAGCTGCACTATCTGAATGTGAATATACACCCCAGCAGCTGGGTGAGCAGCAGAGCAACTGGGAATCTGCTTCTGCAGGGCCTTTGTGCAAGGGACAGCTGTGATCACTGCTGCTTTGAAGGATGGGCTGGAGGGAGAGGTGACAGCGTAGGCTGGCTGTATGCATGTTCCACACCATGTGGCTTGGCAGCCATGCCCTCTAGCACTGGGCTGTAGGAGGCTCACTGTCTGCAGCGTGACTGTGATGGGGTGGTTTGGTGTCTCAGTGGTTAGCGCTGTCTGTAATTAAATGTTATTCAGCCCTTGCTGTAGGCTGTTCACAGGTGTGTAGAGCACTTAATTTCACTGAGAGAGAACTCAAGTTGCCTTTGATCCTACTCGGCAGTAGAGAGGACACATCTGTGGGGTCGTTGCAAAGAAATGACCAGTTTAAAAAAGAAAATAAAAAACACAACAACAAAACATAGAATCAACCAACCAAGCAGAACACTTTGATTTTTCTGAGGCACGAAGAGCAGAGTCCAGAAGTTGCTAAACATGGGGTGTGACTCTGTGGCCTGTGATCCCTCCTACTCAGCTGTGCTGGCTGCTGCCTGTCTCCCAGACTCTCAGCACCTGTGGCTTTATTTCTTGGCAGGTTTAAACTGGATCCTTCTGTGAACCTCAGCAGCATCCTAGAAGAGTGCCCGGCTCAGCTGACAGGAGCTGATATCTACTCACTGTGCTCGGATGCCATGATGTGTGCTGTCAAACGCAAGGTGGAATGGATCGAGGAGGGTAGGAGCCCAGCCTCTCCTCATCCCATGCGCTGGAGTTGCCAGCACAAGGACAGAGGGCAGTTAGCACTGCTATAGCAGTAGTTGGGGTTGGAGGGAAGAGCCCTGATGGCTCTGGGCCATCTCTAAGTGCAAGGCTGTGGGTTGGTAGCAGGTGCTTTCGCCATGTGTGATTGTTTGCACCTTGTGTGGTCTCAGTGCGGAGGAGAAAAGCATTTTTCTTTCCCCTTCTCTATCTGGAAAAAGAACTGGGGGCTCTGCTCCCTGGCTTTGCTCTCAGCATTTTCTCATTCTTTTTTTACACAGGGTTGGATACAGAGAGCTCTGCTCTCATACTCACCATGGAGGACTTCCTGCAGGCTGCTGCGAAGTTGCAGCCATCAGTCTCTGAGCAGGAGCTCCTCAGGTACAAACTCATTCAGCAGAAATTTGCTGCCTGCTAATAAGGCTCAGGAGAGCTGGGACTGGAGGAGCAAAGGGATGATGGAGCTAAGTGGCGGGAGAGAACTGGGGCAGAAACACCTACCTGCTACCTTCCTATTGCTCCTGCTCCTCCTTTTTCGATCTTGACAGAAAAAGTAGCCATGCAGTTTTGTCAGCCAAAGCCTTGTGTGGGTGTTGACCTGGTGAGGGACTCTGTAACAACCCCTCTAGTGTAGAGGGAGCAGCACCTGGCTGCCAGGAGCATGCTGGGGGGACAGAGCCCTGACAGGGAAGCAAGGATGGCTCTACTGGTTGGCGGTAGTCACCTTTTGGGGTGGCAGCCCCCCTGTGGGCTGCTGGCTGGAGTACAGGGCCACTATGGAGCAATGCTGCTGCCATGGGCCTGGCCTTGCCCTGGACCCTACAAATAAATATAGGTTTCTGTTTCAGCTTTCAGCACTTGTGCTCACTTGCTGGGGGCTTGGGATGGGCTGTGCCAGCCCAGGGGGGCCGTGTATTATAGAGAAACTAGTGGCTGGGGGGTGCAGGGCTGGGGCTGTTCTTGTACATCCAGCACAGAGGGCCAGGACAAAATGCAGTGGGGACAAGTCCAGAAAAGAAAACTCCCATTAAGTAGTAGACAAAACCTGTCCCAGGGAAGAGTAGGGCTGAAGCAGCCGTGAGCTGCTCCATCTGAGCCAAGCACACACTCCTGCAGCCTCTTGGCAGCTGCTGGTCCTGCCACACGTGCACTGCTTCCTGCCCTCCACCCTGGATCCCAAATAAATCCCACAGTGGGGCCGTGTGTCAGCCAGCTGGCAGCTGCCTTCATGTCCGACTTGTGGCTGCCAGCTCCCAGCAGCTGCTCCTGCAGCTCACGATCAGAGCCTCAGCCCTCTGTGTTAGTGGCACCAAAGCTGCTGCCAGTCGTGTTGCTGAGCCACGTATGGCTGGCAAGGAGCGTGCCCCCACTGTGCTTTTCCCCAGAGGGCCACTCCTCCAGCAGCTGCAGGCCCTTCATGCATGGTGGCCTGGCTAATGAGCGCCTCCAGCATAGAGCATGTTCAGGCAGAGTTGGCCACAACCACGACACTCAGCTGGATCTGATCCGCAGCTCTGCAGGGTGGGCAAGGTGTGAACTGTAACCACACCAAGCATTTCAGCTGGGTGTCTGTAACCTCCCCACCCACGTGGTCCTCCAGATGGTGCTCCGTGGGGCTCAGTGCCCTCTTGGAGGCTGTGGGGCTGTGCCACACTCAGGCACCAGCCCTGGCACTTCACCATTGGCACTGCGGCACGGGCTGGGAGCAGAGGGCTGGGATGAGGCCATGCCCACCAGCCCCTGCGCTCCCCAGTCCCCCCGGCTGAAGGCGGCTCACCCCACACACGGACACAGGGACCATGGGCTCCGGTTGCTCTCACAGACGCTCTTAATTAACAGGAGTTGGCTGCTGGGTGGGTCTCCGCGAAGTCCCCAGCCGCCTGTTTGTCCCCAGAGCCGCTCGGAGCGCTCTGCCACCACAGTCCTGTCACCGCAGCCCCCTCAGGCAGTCTTCTTGACGACGTGGATGAAGTAGCAGGGGACGTGGGCCTGACCCGGCGTGTAGGACTGGAAGTCACCCAGGACACTGTGTTGACATTTCCCCTGGAAGGCACCTTTCAGCAGTGCTGTGAAGGCCTCCAGCCGGTGCGGGTAGTACGAGAGGCGGAACTTGCTGCAGGGAGGCAATGGCCATGAGGCTGGGCAGACACCGAGGCCTGGCCTCGGCTGCGACCCCCATGCAGCCCCTCTCACCTCAGCTCCGGGGAGGCCCCCGCCTCCGTCGGGGGGACCTGCACGGTGTAGTCCAGGGTCACCATGTGGGCCTTGTTGTTCACCAGCAGCACTGAAGTGGTGATGTCCTTGGTCAGGTCGCTCTGGGGACAGCAGAACGTTGGTGTGCCGCCGCTCCCAGCAGAGGGCAGCGGGCAGCGGGATGGGGCAGGGATGGCAGCTGCCCACCTTGTAGTAGATGTTCTTTCCAGGCGGCGCGCAGCCGGTGGCCAGGATGTGGTCGTAGTTGCGGTGGTCGATGACCAGGACGCCTCCGGGCCGCACCATGCTGGCGATGTTCCTCAGGGCCAGTTTGTGGTCACTCTGGTCCCCTGGGGAGAACAGCGCAGCGTCCCCAGGCACGGACTGTGCCCCCACATCCACACAAGCCCACACGGTTCCCCCAGCCAGTGGCTCGGGGCACCCGCAGCCCTACCCCGGTGATGAGCTCAGGCACGCTCTCAGCCTTCCCGGGAAAATGTGGGGAACCCACAGCCCCACACACGGCACAGGGCTGGGTGTGCCTTCGGCCCAGCCAGAGGTGACACAGACACACACAGCTCTACCACCACCGCAGTGGCCCCCATGGAGCCCCAGAGCAGCGCCTGTTCTCAGACACGCTCCCACCTCGAGCAGTCTACCTGTGCCATGAGTTAGGGCACGTCCTCAGCTTCCCTCCAGACAGGTGGGTGGCAGCCCCCGATCCCCGCAGCCGCAGCCCCACCTATGAGCCTCACCTTTGAAGTCGGGCAGGTGCGCGAAGGAGTTCCCCAGGCAGATGACAGCGTCAAAGCCGTCCCCGGGCTTCTCCAGGTCCTGTTCCAGCGTCAGCCAGTTGGCCTCCTCGATGACTGCGGCACGCGGGGAGGATAAAGGCAGGGACCCTCCGCAGGGGCCATCCGCTCCCCTCCCCCTCTCCCTCCCGCCGCCCGCCCCGCCAAAGCCCCGCGCACCCCCCGGGCCCGCACCCCATCGGTCGAAGGGTTCCTCCTTGCGCCGCTCCCAGCGCTCCTTCAGCGCGTACTTGAGCATCTTGTCGCTGGCGTCCACGCTGGTCACCTGGAAGCCCTCCTCCAGCAGCATGATGGAGTCCACCCTGCGGACAGCGCCGTCAGCGGGACGGGAGAGGGAAGGGAGAGGTCGGGAGGGACGCGGAGACGCGGGGCCTCACCCGGTGCCGCAGGCCACGTCGAGGACGGAACGGCAGCGGTGCTGGCGGAGGAGCGCCAGGAGCCAGCTGCGGTACTCGGCCGTGCGGCTCCGCGTGTCCCCGATGTACAGCTGCCAGACCCTCGCCGCCCGCCCGTCCGCATACTGATCCGGCAGCCCCTCCGCCGCCACCCCCAGCGAACGCGTCCGGTACACGCTGTCCACCATCCCGCCGCCGCCGCCTCGCTCCGCCGCCGCTCCGCCGCCGCGCCGCTCCCCCGCCCCGCCCCGCCCCCTCGGCCCGCCAATCGCCGCCGCCGCCATTCCCCTTCGCCCCGCCCCCCCGCAGGGAGGAGCCTCCGCGATCCGACCCGGCAGCGCGGGGCAAGCAGCGCAGCGGCGCTCCGCGAAAAAGGTCTTTATTCGCAGCCCCGGCGCTGGAGGGCCCCGGGCAGCCGTGCTGCGGGCGCTGGGAGGACGCGGCCCCGGCTCGGCGCGCTGTGGGGGGAACGAGTCCGTACCGTGGTGGGCCGGGAGCTGCGGCTGTGGCACGGGGGAAGAGCCTTTCTCCCCGCTCAGTCCTTGCGAGCCGCTGCCTATAGCTCGTCGGTGGGGCTGTGGGGGAGCGGGGTGGCTTCTTGCACCCCGCTCTCCTCCGTGGAGAAGCTCTCGGCACCCTCGCTTTGCTCCTTCTCCACTTTCTTCTTCTTCTTCCCGCTCTTCTTCTTGCTCGGCTTCTCCCCCGCGCTCGCCAAGTCCCCCTTCTTGCCGGTCCACTTCTCTGCTAAGCAGCCTGGGCAGGGGGAGAGAGGGCCCTGAGGGACACGCAGGGCTCCCCGTGCCCTTACTGGATTCCCTGTGCTCCCCCAGGCATGCACTGCCCCAGGCGGCCCCAAGGACTTACTGGCATCCTTCCCTTTCAGCACGCGGTCAGCACAGAGGAACTGGGAGAGATCTTCCGTCTGGTGGTGCCGGTACCAGTCCTCGATCACATCTTCGTACTCCTCCACCAGCACATCACACTGACAGGGAGAGGACAGCCTGGCACCCAGCACGTGGCAGCAAGCCCTGATCCCATTCCCACACCTGCTGAGCCCTTCCCAGCCCGCACAGCCGCAGCACACTGACCCCACCTAGTAGGTACCTGCTTCTTGAGATCCGCCACCTCGGCAGAGGTCTCATTCCACAGCTCGTAGGGAATGTCCATCACCACCTTGACACCTTTGTGCACCAGGTTGTGCAGGGTCTCAAACGTCTCTGACATACCCTGGAGAGAACAGAGCCATGCAGTGAGGCTGTGCCCGCAGGCACAGAGAGGCCTGAGGCAGATGTCACCGGGGTGTTATGTGCCCACCAGTCCCTCTCTGCAATGAGCACATCCTAAAGACGGCCAGAAGGCACACGTGAGATGGCACCTGGCTCCCTTCTGGCCCACCTCCCCCTAAGGACAGCACCCCAGAGCAGCACAGCCTTGCCTGCTGTCAGCTGGCACGTGGAAGAACTGACCACATTTCAGCACCAAGAGGGACCGCAGGGAAAACCCACCTTTGCAAATCTGTTGCTGCCGCTCCTTTCCTTGTGCAGATTGTAGTCCAACAGCCTCTTGCAAATGTTCTCTGTCACCTCAATGAGCCGGATGTCCCTGCATGGAGAGGAAAGAAAGGGAAAAGCTTGTTGCTGCACCCCAGAACAGCCTCCAAGATCAGGAAGAAGCAACCTGGCACGTTTCCATGCTCTAGAGGAGGGACATGACCCCTTCTGTTTTCACTTACGACTGTGTGTACTTGACGGCAGCGCCCTTCCCATCCAAGAAGCCATACTTGGTGTCGATCACCTCCTTGGTCTTGCCGGTCTCTTCAAAAGCAGATTTCAGCTCCAATGCCACATATTTGCACACTGTGGAAGGAAAAGCATAGCAGGTCAGCGGGTCCTGAGGAGGAACTGGGTGCTGGGAGAAGAGCTCGCAGGGCATGGACACCACTGCTGTTCACAGAAACAAAGAGCAGCATCCTGACTGATGATCTCCTGGAGTAGGAGGGCCTGAATAGTGCTTCAGTGTTAGCGCAGCCACATGGGTACAGCCAGGAGGGCAGAGGGCAGCCACCCCAGCGTCTGCTTCACCTGCCCATCTCTTCCCATGGGGACAGGACACGGTGAGTCGCCCCTTCCCTGTGCCTCCCACACGGGAAGGCAGCCGGGCACGTGGGTGCAGGGCTGCATCACTACTGCAGGGCATCGCTCTGCCAGCAGCACTCTGCCACACTGCACGGGTACTTTTAGAAACGATCAATGAATAAAAGAGGGGAGGGGGAAAACACAATTTTATTTCAGCGGTAACAGACAGTCCAACAGAGAGACGGGAACAGCGAGCAGGAGGAAACATCGCCGGGGTTTGCAGGCGTGGAGGGACGGAGGCCGGGCTCAGCACGGCCTTTCCTGCCCCGGAGCTCCGCGGGGCTCCGTGCCGTTCCGCAGTGCCCTCCGCGGGAGCGGGCCCGGCCCTGCGCCGCCACATCTCACAGCGGTCCCGTGCCGGGCGGGCAGCGGCCGTGCGGTCACACGGCACCTCCGGAGCGTCTTCCCGGGCGGGGGAGCCGCACGAAAAGCTCCGCCGCCGCTTCTCCTCCTCTCCTCCGCGCCGCGGAGCCCCGCACGTCCCTGCACGGCACAGACAGAGCGAAGCGAGCCCGGCCCCGGCGGAGCCTCGGTTCCCTTCGCTTCCGGGAGCCGCGGGAAGGCCCGGCTGCCGCGACCGGGCCTCTTCCGCCCCGGCCCGCTCCCGGCCCCGCTCCCCTCGCTCCCGGCCGCGCTCACCCTCGCACTTGCTGGGCAGCCGCACCCAGTCCGCGTCGTCGCCGCCCGCCACCGCCACCAGCAGCAGCAGCAGCAGCGCGGCGGGACCCTCCGCCGCCATGGCTCCGCTTCCGGGCGTTCGCCCCGCCCCCGTCGCCACGGCAACGCGCCGCCACCGCCAACCCCAGCGGCCCGCGTGGCACGCCCGGCCAATCGCCGCCCGGCCCGCCCGGCCAATCGCCGCCCGGACGCCGAGTAGCCCCGCCCTCTCCGCTCGCTCGCCGCGGACCCGCCGGGCGGTCCTCGTCCGTCCTATCGCGCGGCCGGGCTCCTGCTGCCGTGCCCCGAGGTTCTTGCGGGCCTCCGCCCCGCGGGCTCCGCTCCGCTCCCACACCGTCACCCAGGCCGGGTCTGCCCCTCGTTTCGGAGGCTCCTCGCTGCCCGGCCTGGTCCCTCAGCGCCGGGCCAGGAGCAGGGCTGTGAGCAGGGCGTCGACAAGCGCGGCCTTCAGCAGCACCACCCGCGCGGCCACCAGCAGGGCTGCTGCAGCACAGGCGCGGGGCTCTGAAACAGAGGGGACGGCAGCGTGGCTGCAGGCCCTATGGCTTCCCCCGAAAGGCACGTCGTCCCCACCCAGCGGGGCTAAATGGCCCCAAGTCCGTCCGCACGCCGTCCCAGCGCCCTCTCCCACCCCGCGGTGCGGTTTCCTGCCGTCGCGCTCACCCGCGGGAGTGCTGGGACACAGCTCTGCCTCCTCATCGCTGCCTGCGGGATGAGGAACAGCGGGGAGGGGCTGCCGCAAACCCCTGGGTAACGCTCACCCGCAGGGCCGCGCACCTGCTGCCCGCTGGCACAGCCCTGCTCCGGGGCAGGGCCCGTCCGTACCTGCAACTGCGATGGCACCGGAGCTATGGGCCGGAGCGCTGCTGTTGGGCCCAACGTGGCACGCCAGGAGCTCCTGCTCCGCGGGACTGTCAGGGAGGATGGAAACGGCACAGACGGTGCCACCCTCCTCCTGCGAAGCCCCGTAGGCGAAGGACTGCAAAGCGCTGCCGTTCCCACCGGAGATCCAGACGGCGTGGCCGGAGCTAGCGGGCAGCTCGCTCACCACGCACACCACCAGCCGCCGCCGCTGCCCCGACACCACCATGGTCAGCGGCGGGGCCAGGGTGGGCAGGGGGTCGGCGGCCCCGCCGGCTGCAAGGATGCAGGTTAAAGCTTCGCGCTGGACCCGACCTTCACAGCTAGGCTCGGTGGCCGCCAGCCCACTCCGCGCCCGCCACCTCAATCCGCCCGCTGGCTACTCACGGGGCAGGAGCAGAACAGAGGCCAGCAGCAACCAGGGCACCTTCATAGCAGCAGCAGCAGCAGCAGAGTGGTCGTGGCAGCTCAGCCCCCAAACCGTTACTGCCACCTGCTCCCAGCTGCTCTGAGCTGCACCTGGGGCAAGGCAGCGAGGGGGAGGCGGGCACGGAACAGAGACGGCCCCTGGCACGGCTGCCATCGCCTCGCTACTCTCCCGTCCGTGCTGCCGGTCTCCCCCTCCCGCACACGTGGTAGCGCCCTTCCTCCCCCCGCTGCAGTGGTACGGCCACAGACAGCGCCATGATGGAGCCGGGCAGCGCTGTGACGGAGCAGATGGGGAACACAACCCCCCCAGCCACCCCAGCCCCAGGCACCCCTTCTTCATTTGCTGAGCTGCTGCAGATGGTGCAGAGGGGCCAGGCCCCGGCTGGTGTGCGGTGTCCCAACGCCTCACCCACAAACGACAGCCCCACAGCCTCCCGCCTCCCGCGGCCACCCAAGCCCTGGGAGAGCCGCCCAGGCCGGCCCTGAGCTGCTCTGGCAGCCAGGAGGCCCCGCTGCTCCCCGTGGATGCCCTTGGATTTCCCAGGAGGACGCAGTAAGGCTGGCCGCAGACACAGCTTTAAATGCTTTTTTTTTTTTTTTTTTTTTAAAGAAACATATAAAGAACTCTTAACAAGAAGTATAAAAATCTCCTCGGTGCCAACCAGACGAGGCTCATACAGAAGGAGAGGCACAGCCAGCAGTGGGGCTTGGGGATATAGTCTGCCCCAGGCCTGTACTACTGCCCCAGGGCTGAGAACCTGCCTGTGGCTGTGCATCTCTACAACTTGAGGAGCACTGGAGCCAAGGTAAGAGCCAGGCTGGAAAGCCATCTGCTTTCTTCTTTGGATCAAAATATTGAAATAGAAAATAAAATAATGACAAAAAAGTGCAATGCACCGTCACTCCCAGCATTCACTTCATGCTGTTTGTGACCTATTCATCTTTGCAGCTGCTGCCAGCTCTCAGCTAACAAAAAACTCTCACCGCTTTCAAGCCGGTGGCCCATAGGAACAGTGATCCTGCTTGATTTCCACACACGTTGCAATTGCAATCTTTTACAACGTGCAAACAAACACCAATGTGGGGCCGCATTTCTGCACGATGCGGCTTCACCCCATCACAATACAAACATGAAGTTAACCTCGTAACTGTTTGACAAACCTGAGAACTTAATCCTTGAAACCCATAGGGGGCAAAGGCAGAACTAAGGCGTGCTTCCTCCCTCTCTCTGCAGAATTACTGCTCCAGCGTGAGCCTTAGCTTGATGTTCATGGCTGCCAGCTCTGCCAAGAAGTACCGGAAGACGTGGGGCACTGGGATGACCTGGATGGTGTCCATCCTGCCACAGAGCATGCAGGAATACCTCCTGTTGCTTGCCACAGAGGAAGGTGGTGGGCGCTGGAGCAGAGGAGATAACATGCTGCCGCAGCTCGTGCAAACATAGGCTTCAGAGCCATCTGAGCAGCTGAACAGGCGGTCGTGCAGCAGGAAGGAGGTGCCGTGAGCCAACAACGCATCACGCTCCATCTCACCAAAGCGAATCCCCCCTTCCACGTTCCTCCCCTTGACGGGCTGGTTGGTGACGGAATCCCGGGGTCCCGTTGTCCTCACCTGGAACTTGTCGGAGACCATGTGGCGCAGGCGCTGGTAGTACACGACTCCCACAAAGATGTCTGCCTCCAGCTCCACGCCGCTGATTCCACTGTACATCTTCTCTGTCCCAAAGAAGTTATAGCCCGCGCTCACCAAAGTCTCACCAAAGTACTTCAAGGCGGAGTTTTTCTCCGTGAAGGTGAAGGGAGTGGCATCGTAGTAGGCGCCGTGCAGTGCTGCTGACTTCCCCGCCATGCTCTCAATTAACATCCCGATGGTCATACGGGAGGGGAACCCATGGGGGTTGAAGAGGATGTCTGGAACCATCCCATTCTCCGTGAACGGCATGTCTTCAACAGGCCAGAGCTGGCTCAGGATGCCCTTCTGCCCATGGCGGCTGGCAAATTTGTCTCCAACAGTTGGGTTTCGAGGAACTCTCACGGTGATGCAAGCCTTCTTGAATTTCCCAGTGCCACGGTCATTACTGCACAGCTTGATGTTGTCTACAATGCCGACTTCTTTATTCCTGTGTCGGTGGAAAAACATTCACAGCAAAGGTATCAGATATGCTCATGACTTTGAGCAAAGAAACCAACCCACTTTTAAGTCTAATAAAGAGCTGGGGGTCACCACATTTTTCAAAGAGTATCATTCAGGGAAATCAGACTATATCAGAATTAGAGCACAGCAGCCAAACAAAGGTATCACCCAAGTGCCATTTGTTTGCTGTTTCTAATGCTAGCAGAACAACTGCAACTTTCATGTGATGAGGTAATGTGTCACCCATGATAATAAAGTCAAAATTATTTAAACCTGGTTCATCAGTTCTACATCTGATCAGACATGCCGACCGTTTTCTTTCAAGGCAGCAGTTTCCTACACAATACATTAACACTGTCCTGGTGGGATGCTAGCATAAATGAACAGGTTCAGGGCAAAGCTGAGAGGAAAGCTCAGGAGCAGAGAGCAAAGGCACAGGGGGAGCTGAGTGGGCCTTTGCCAACAGGTGTTCAGGGCTATGCTGCTGTTTCAAGCGAACCCTCAGTAGATGTTTCATATGCTGGATGTCTGTTGCAGACTTAACTCCTGTAACAGAGCTTGCAGCCCAAATTCTCAAGGAATGAATAAATTTCGACCACGTTACAACAGGGTGAGTTTTTCCTTTGTCCCTGCACTACTTGCAGAAGGCCTGCACTTATGATTAGCTTCTGTTTTACAGCTATTCTTCTACTGTGCCAAAACGCACACACAGTATAGGCCATCCCCAAACAACAACAAAAACACTCAAAAATTTCTTCACAAACCTCTTCCCAGCTTCATGAAAGTTCTGAGTCAAAGCCTCTGCTCTCCACCCCTTCCAAGCCAAGTTTAAGATCCAAGCAGTGTGTGTAGCATAGTTAAGACAGTAGGGAGAACTGCCCCTTCAGGTTGCAGGGTCTCTGGGAAAACTTGGGGCATGAGCCAACACTGAGAGCAGGGAACCTCCCCATAGGAACCTAAAAAGTTACCTCATATAGAATCGTAATGAACAAATGCTGCAGAGCACGCAGGTAAAATGGCTCTGGGTAAGGAACTTGCACTAAGGTGAGGCTGGCACAAAAGAGCTGGCAAACAGGAATATGGAGTAGGGAGCCAAAACAGGATTCACAAGTGGAAGGAGCATAAGGCTGAGCTGACAGCATCAAATTCTGGCAATCCTCACTGCCACATACTGAATCTCTCTGCTCTGCTCTACAACCAGCAATCTTTCCAATGCAGTTTCAATGCACTCACTGTATAGTATTAACAGATAGCTTTCCCAGTAAGACTGGTTATTCTGTTATCCAATTAGCTTATCCAATAAGCTAATTTGCTTTCTAAACATGAATAACTAAATAGTATGATCCTCACTCTATAAATGTGCAGGTAGGGCATGATGTTGTATTGACAACAGTTTCTGGCAAGAGACTGGCCTGGGGACCAAGTACCCAAAAAACACAATACTGCAGAAAATGACAGAGATGGACAAAGGAACAATACTGGAGGACAGCAAAACATTTCTGCAAGTTTTCTCTTTTTATCATTCCTAGCCTTACATCCAGGATAAGTCAGATGCTGCAGCTCTTCAGTGTAACTGACTCCAAGACACAAAACATGCATCGATTTCATGCTCCATAAACACATGGATACCTTAGGTGCTATGTGAGGAGAAAAGGCAACACCTAAAAGAGCAGCTGATCAGGGTCCACTACTCCATATGTTTGGAGACAGAAGGAACAAGCTGAAACAAGCTGAACTTACTGGTAGTACACAGTGAAGGTCTCCCCTGTGTTGAGGTTCATATAGCTGTAGAACGGGTCCCCGGGCTGCAGGATGGAGCCAACAAAAGGCAATCCATCAGCATCCAACTTCTCCTTAACGTTTGGGTCCCCAGGCTTGATACCAAATACTAAATTATCACCTCCCCTGCTAGCTTTAAGGGAAAGGTCAATGCTCTCCATCTTGATAACACTTCCGTAAGCAAACCCTCTCTCCCAAGAAGATTTGTTCACAATCTAAGAGAAAGAAAAAAAGGCTGTTAAAAACTTGTTAGTATCTTCAAAGAAAGCATTTCCATTCTGATCTGATGCACATCTTTTAACACCTTCCTACATTAAAAAAACCCAAAAACCTCCCAGCCAGTCATCACTCCAACAGGCTCAGGTCTCCTCCAATCCCTTTTTTTTTTTTTTTTTTTTTAAAATCAGTGCTGGAAGCCCACAGCCTTACACAAGGGAGCTATGCTCAGGGTAGTCAGAGTAGAGCAGTACTACAGAAAGTGCTTAACAGCTGAGATCCTATATCAGTTCTAATGGAACTGACTAGCAAAAGCAAAAAAAGGGGTCTTCTCAACTGCATACCACGCTTCTTTACAATTGCCCATCCTAAATTCCTTTGCAGGACAGTATAATTCCTTCTTCTGGTGGCTTACCATTGCATCTTCCATGTCATAGCCACTATAGGAGATGACAGCCACAACTGAATTGGTACCGACTGGGTAGCTGTCCATACTGTAATAGTCATACATTCTGGGCCTCACCAGAGGGCTCTGAGGGGTATGGAGGAGGTACAGCTTGTTATCTGAGCGGTCCTTGTAGTTATACACTGGAAACCCCATGGTTTGCTTTCCTATAAAGAAAGAAAGTTGTATTTACACAGGATCAATTCGAAGTTAAATAGTGTTCTGTCCTCCAGAATTATTATTTAATAACTGCCCTAAGTCCAGCTAAAAATGTTTCTATGAACCATACACACTAATTAAATTCCCTTCACATCATTATGTAAAGGATTTTTCTAATTGTGTCTTTTCTGCAATTTCAAGCCTCCAATAAAGTGTTTTTTTGCTTGTTTGTTTGTTTTTGTTTTTTTCCTACTGACAGTACAAACACATTGGTAGTAAAAAAAGAGTTTTTGAACACAGTCACATCAGTACTTTCAGGTAAGTATGAAAAAGCAGTAACGTATTAAGGGCACCTTTCTGGTAACCTTGTTAGAAATGCAATATGTCGTGGAGCTGATGAGAGCAGCACTCTCATAGTTCCTACCTCTTAGCCTGGCTTTTTTTGCTTTAAATAAGTTTCTTGCTTGTCACTTGTTTGTCAACTAATTGAAACTCCATCTACATACCATATCCCAATTGCCTGCAGACAACTAAGTTAATCAAATCACTGGCAGAGAAAAAAAAAACTGCTACCACGGTGCCATTTTAATATCCCGCAACAAATGTTCCCTCAAAAGCTC